ACTGTAAAGAATGATTATCCCTTCTTCAAGACCTTTAAATTGTACATTGATGATGTCGTCATATACAGCAACACATGGGACGATAACACTTCATCATGCGTGCTTTTTTGACATTTTAGATAAAATCTTAACTGTTTTTTTTCTTGAGAAAAGCCCATTTTGTCATGCTTATGTTTTTAGGTTTTAAAGATGGGTCAAGGTTATGTTACACCCATTATGGCTAAAGTGTGCTATTGCAAAGTTTTTTAAACATTTACAAACAAAAAGAATTAATTGAGGTTTTATATATGGCTGGGTTTTACAGAAAATGTTGTCCAAATTTTTACTCAGTTGTTAGTCCACTTACAAATCTTTTACAAAAGATGAGTAAACTTTGAATGGACAAAGGACTGTGAAAAATCCTTTCACAAAATCAAATCTGTCTTTTTAAAAACCCATTTCTGTCAACTCCAGATTTTTCTAAGCAATTTAAGCCACTGTTGATGCTAGTGATGTTGGAAATGCAGGGGCAGCTTTGTTTCAATATATAGTGATAAGGTATTATTAGTTGTTTCTTATTTTTCAAAGAAACTTACAAAATGTCCTATTTGTATTGAACCATTGAAAAGGAATGCCTTGCTTTGTTGTTAGCCTTACAGCATTTTGATGTTTATCTGAATGTTACTTTGCATATTTATTTAGTTTATATACAGTTGACAACCCCCTAATTTTTGCACAAATTGTCAAACAAGAATCAAAGACTGACTAGATGGAGTTTGTTGTTAAAAATACAACATAACAATTAAGCATATCAAAGGCAAAGACAATGTTATTGCAGATGCCTTGTCAAGAATATTTTAAACATACTAGATTTTGTATTAATGTACATGTTTTACAAAAAGTTTTTCATTGACATTCAAACTTTTTAAGGGGTGGGTGTTGTGAGATGTGTATTGTTTCATTATGTATATAATTAGTAACATTAAGTTTCTTGAACATTCCAGAGTGGTCAACATGTTCAGTCATTTGATCTAGAACATTCTTAAATTTTGTGTATGTCCAGATTGTTCCAGTAATATCATGTTTTAATAATTTCTAGTTATTCTAGATTTATGATACTATATAAATACCCTGTCAATTCGATGCATAAATACTTTGTCGTATAAAGCACTATTGAGATATAAATGGGATATATTTTCACTGGGACATTGTATGCAGCAACGGACACTCTGATGTATGTATTTTTAGATTCTTGCTAAGTTTGTACTTTATGTTTGATATATTTATTATATATTACTGTAAATAAATTATTGTTAAGTTTAAATTGTGTTATTGATCTTTGCTGGCATTTTCAGGTAATTCTCATAACAATTGATATATATTTTTTGCTACTTTTAGTAATATAAATAATTAATCCGTAAGACATAAGGAAAATCTTAAGTATTGTTTGCTGCTTAAATATGCGCCATTTGTCGTTTTTTTATGCAATTCTATACAAAATTTGCACACATTTTGAACATTGAGTCACAATCTTACAAAATTATGCCACTTTGCCTTGCAATTAATTTTCATGTCACCTATCTGAATATGAGAAATATTGTTGATTTCCAAAGAAAAAAGATTTTTGTGTTATTTATCCAAGTCATCGGTGTTCCTGGGAAGTAATGTGACTGCTACGTGTCGCCCGATCATGTTCTTTCAGCCGACAAGACAAGAAAAATTTAGTCGCCCGATTGTCGGCTTAAATGTGACCTAGGCATAAGTTGGAAAAAATACAATTGAACATACATTTCTTGAAATTCTTTTTAAAAACGAAATCACTGCACATAAGATTAAAAATTTAGCGTTGAACAAAAGTATTCGGAGATAATTTTAGATCTCTTGCTTACAATTTGATGGAGTAATTGGTCAGTTAACGTAGCGTTAATTATTATGCAAACACTATGCCGTTTCCTGGTCCGTCCGATAATTTTTTAATAATTATAACTAAAAAAAGCACTGTGAAATGGAAATTGTCGTATTTATTTCTTTATCTAATTAAGTTATTAGACATTACAAATTAAGAGCTTTTCAAAATTTTTTATTATTGTTACAATTTTACATTGCATGACATCTGCTCTAAAAATTAGCTTGAGGAAGTTTTTTTTCTAAATCATTCTGAAAATGAAATTTAAAACAATGTATTTTCCGATACAGAATCAGGAGAAATTGAAGGTTTTTAACGTCAATTATCTCTTGACAAGGCTTTCAATGTACATACAAATGACTACATGTTCTTTTTAAAAAAAATCTAGCATATTTGTAATTTGATACGATAAACCGGTAAATCGGTCAATGTTTACGGTTTATCCATTACAATTCTGCATTCGTTGCCATCCCTAATAAACACATTTTTACAAATTGATCTCAAAATTTTAAAAAGCATAAATAAGCAATGGCTAATTTTTAATTGTATTTTAAAAGTATTGTAGGAAAATATGAATGAATTCTTTAGAATACTACCCTTAGGAATCCGGAAAAAAGTTTTGTCCCCGCTGTAAATCCCACGCTGGCATCTGCTCCTAATCCTAAAATAGGTACAAAAATCTTCAGAATATTTGACTAGCAAATTAGTTTATATGTACAAAATAAAAAAAATATTCTATTCATTTAATACATTTAGTAAGGTTTTATGAAATCATTTCTCATTGAATGAATTTAATTTTGTAATTTTCAAATTACAACAAATATCAACTTACGCATTAAAAAATACGGGACCACATGAGGTAATAAAACCTCAGTAAAATAGGAAGATCAAAATTGAATTAACATTTGGCTCCTGACAAATATCCTGAAGTGACATGGTTACTGATCAAATGCCGGAAAATGCAAGAGACGGTTTTGAAAAGATTTTGATTTCGAATTTTTTTTATATCTTCGTTTTCATTTCCACTATTTTCTTCATTTCCATGTTCTGTATTGTCAAATTTCCCCACGCCTTTTGAACTTGAACCTTTCCTACATTTTTCTGATATAGTTTCGTTTCGAGGTATGGCACTCTTAACCTGATTAACTTTATTCTCAAAGAATTTTGTGATCTTTTGCACTTGATTCTTAACATTGTTATATATGTTTTTGAAATATGAAGTATCTAAGCTTCCTAAGTGCTTTTGTTGCATCTTTATATTAATATTCTCTTTTTCCTTTGATGCATCTTCCTTAATTCTCTCGATTACTTTTTCCAAAAAAATCAGTCATCTCTCTCAGGTGTCTCCTATCCGAAGAATTTAAAACAGTAAATTTTCAATATACACTTATATATAACTTTAATTTATCATGATTATTTTGAAAAAATGCATTTACCTCTTTGCAAAAATTCAATAGCATCAAAACAGTAATTTCATGATTTTCTAAACTTTATATATGTTTGAATTATAAAACTGTAATTTTTCTCTCGATAGTCATTGTTGATTTCAAATAATTTGCAATACCTTGAAAATATATTACACCATATTTAAATAAATAATCAAATTAATTCTCACAAATAATCATAATAAATGCCCTATTTCATTTATATATTGAAATTTATCTTGTATCACCAAATATTTTGAGCTAAATGTGTAATATTTATATGTATTTGAATTTTTATATTTACTTTTGCAAATGTTTTCTCTTTATATTAAACACTATAAAAATACGCGTAGTCATTATAATAAACCAAACATATTTTCCATAGTCTACGTTTGATAGGTAATTACACATTGGAATATGTAAACACGTTCATTCGGTAAAATGTACGGAATATTAATTGAAATTAGCATTCGATCTACTTAAATGATATTAAATTTAAATTGGGTGGGATTTTTAAATACTTGATTTACTGCAAATTGGTCGTTTTTGATATTTTAAATGCATATTTTGGTTACTGTGCACTAAAATCGCTGGTCAAAATTACTCAACCATGAAATGTATGATGTCATGTAGAGGAAGTGAAAAAAATGCCAAATACACGTGCATGCTGATGTTGACAATTTTTGATCACATTTTGTAGTGCCAAGAGATGTATTAGAGTTATAGACATCGTTTTCCGATATTTCCAGTCAGTATAAATTTCTTGCAATCATGGTATGGCTGACGGATGTTACATTGGGTCTAGTAATTGAGTTGCATAAGTGAATAAGAAGGCAACAACATGTTGCTGTGCAGTTTGTTTTTAACTTTTAAACTAAAAAGTTTTTTTCGGTTGTCAGAGAGTAATTTAAAAGGTTTCCAACCAACCATGAGGGTGACGTTGGCGCGTAACAACGTCACATCAAGATAGGGCTTTTAATCATGCTACCTCGATTATTGTCAAGTCATTATCACTGAAACCGATATTTTTATAGCAGGCAATCCTACTCATATTTTCACCCTAATACTGACAGAAACTCTCTGCTCTAATTTGGTACGCAAGCTTGGCAACTTACTCTCACACGTGCACGTACGTGCCGTATGCGTAATGTTTTTAGCATGTTCACATTGGGAAAATGTAGCTAGTGTTTGTCATTTCTTCCTTACAAACATTCACGTGTACCAAATCAGCTAGATTCTGTAAATTCTATCCTTAATCGAAAATTCGTGGGATTCATTGGGCGGGGGGGGGGGGATTTGTTGGCTTTGGAATAATACAGCTACTCTCAACCATTAAGACTACCGTCGGAAGGCTTGAATGATAATCCTATGAGAAAGATAAATGCTATGGTGAACTCAATGCACAAGTAAATCAAGGCTGTTACTGATGCGCAAGGTAGATGATGAGAATTTTTATTTTAATATGCTGGCGTATCGACATATCTATTTCAATAACTCAGGAATTATCAGTCAAAGTCACACAAGATTTCGGTTACTTATTGTTTCAAGTTGAATTAAAATGCTTGATAACAATACTGGAAAACATACTGGAAATGAAAGTTTTAATTTTATTCAAAAGTTAATTATGCGTTTCTTTTTCCTTTCAGTATATTTTTAAAATGATACCTTTAGTTCTTAAGTATATAACTTACTGTTAGATGATCGTCGTTTGCGTTTAATTGTTTTAGTTGTATTCGGGTTTATATTTTTGTACTGAATATTCCCCAAAATTTGATTTTTCTCAAAGCAATCAAATGTCATATAATTGCAAAGTTGGCCGAAGAAGTTCACTTTTGTGAAGTTAACATGTTTGATGATTGAAACAGTCATCACTGCATATTTCTCTTCATCCAAATGAACATTAATCTCTTTTGTATCTAGAAAAGAATTTTGAAATATATCAATAAGCAATCATTTTAAACAGACCTTTCCATAGTCTGAATGTCTCATGCATCGACTCCAAAAGGACGTTTAATGAATATAACAATAAAAGTATTGCCCCAAAAATTATTTTTTTAAAATATTCCTTTTACCTGATGTGATGTTAAGTTCAAGGCGATTGTTGACGTATATAAAAAACTGGCTGTTTGTAGGATCAAACCTGTAGGTGAAGTCAATTTCAATCATTTCTACATCATTTTTAAGTGCCAAGGTACATGTCATTCCGTTACAGTCAAAGTGTGCTTTACACAGAATATTGATACCTTGAGGAATTGAATGTTTTAACGATGGACACTCTGTAAAATAAATAAACAACATGCAGATAAAACAATAATTCTAAAAAAGGACAACAAGTTAAATAACAGTGACTGAAATGAAAATTGTAAATTTGTAGTTTGTAGATTAAATTATCTTTAATCATTTCAACAGAAACACTATACACAAGAAACTTAATGTATGTATTTTAAGTTTTTTTTTTTTATATATAATGCTGTTACTTTTTGAAATTTGAAGTAAAGACTGTTCCATTAAAGAAATCTGCTGCTCCCTGGTTAAGACTCTAAAAACCTTTTCCTTGAAACCTATCATGTTTTTTTCTAGGGTTTTGTTAACCAGAGACTTTAAAATATCCAATGCCGCTCTAGATTGATCTCGAGGCAATGATTCCAATACTTCAGTAATTGATCTATTCAAAGTATTGCTGGAATAAAAATCAAAAGACGTTATATGATACGTGAAACTACAGATTGTAAAAGAGAGAATCACAAGTGTACACAGAAAGATAAAGATCGACAAATACTGTTGTTTTACCTTGTATTATGGATGTCCTCTTGCTTTAAAATTATTTCCAAAAGGTTTTGCAAAAGTTTCTTGGAAATATCTGTTTTGTGAATCAGTGGTTGTGCTTGAAGAGTTGTCAAATTGCCCCAGTTGATATTGTTAACATCTTTTTTGATCCCTTCATCTGACCCCCGTCTATGGACGACCGACTGTTTGGACCTGGGATGAGCTGAAGCATCTCCCTCATCTGCCACTTGACCCTTTTGCTCAAATGAGTAATCATTGCAGTGTTGTTTCCACTGTGAAGTAGGAAAACGCTTCAAGAGGAATACCGACGGATCGATGAAATTAAATTCTTCACCAGTGTCATCAAACATATTTTGTTCTCGAACGGCTACATTTATATGAGGGGGGCATGCTTCATGCAACACTCCTTTAGCAAGGAAATCTCCAGACTGAAGTACAGTGCCGACATTTTTCTGAAGGTTTTCATTAATAAATCGTACATTACGGACAATAATTATGTACATTTGCATGTTCTCTGAATCTGGTATAATAGCAACAGTACTGTTGTCAACTTTGAATGCATGACCGCTAACAGGATTAACCACATCCTGTATAAAAAGAATAAGAATGCTAAATATTAATTTACTTCTGATAAAAAATTTCCTCTACAGCACCAACGGAGTAATATCTTACTGGGTTCTTTGTTTTAATGTATAAACAAAACTATACCGCGGGGCATAAAATGAATGAGCCATTTGATAGTAAAACATTAAACTTTCATAGTCTAAAAGTTTTACCAAATGTAAATCTTAATCCTAGAAATAAAAGTGCTATCAATCCCTTTATAAAGATATGTCCCTTTTTTGTTAGAAAAGACACACACTTATTGTAAAGGTATATATCTTTCATCAACTTTATCTTTTCTAGTTCCTTGTACGGGTTTGATGAAAGAGGTATCCAATCCAGAGCTATTGGATGTGTATTAAAAACTTTCTGCCATATAAAAGCAGTTTTTCTTCATCAATGGGATGTCTCATTTAATTTGCAACAAATCTTGGAACTATCCGCCTTTTTAAAATTTGAAATATTAATTGAAAATACTGATGTACATGTATGTGTACTAGCTTCTCAGAATCTACTAACTAAATTTTGTGAATCTAGAACAAGATCAATTCCTCTAGATCCATTCTGTTTGTCGTAGATGCCACACCCACAGCCATTACTACATGATGCTTTTTTCCTAGGAAATTCTGCAGCAAATTTACTTCCAAAAATAGCCTGTGTTTGAAATCTTCCTTTCTGCATCCTACAATATTTAAAAAAAAACATGTTGATCATATATACACTGTGCATTTTGAAATCTAAAAAGGTCTTGGTGTAGGTAGGTATAGGTACCAATACAGAACAAAATGTGTTTGTGAAACACTGATGCCCCCATATGGCAACAAAGCAAAGATTAAACTTCTCTTAAATGCAAATTTGATATATTGGTACCAAAAATAGGGTATTCTCACTGGAGAAAAAATTGTGAAAGTAGGCCAATGTTAAAGGTTTTTCAAGAAGTACAGGAATCTCCTAGGTCAAGTTCAAAAGGTCAAGGTAATTGGTATCCAATGAAAGGTTTTGCCACATAGAATGCTTATGTAGAGTATGGAAGCCCTAGCCCTAACCGTTCAGAAGTTATGGTAAGGTTAAAAAAAATTTAAAAAGTAGGTCAAACTCCAAGGTCAAAGGGTCAAATTCTTGTAATCAAATGAAAGGTCTTGTCACAAGGATTAAATATGTAAAGTATGAAAGCACTAGCCCTAACCCTTTAAAAGTTATGGTCAAGGTTTGCTTTTTAAAAGTAGGTCAAACTCAAAGGTCAAGGTCAAAGGGTCAATGTTCTCAGTATTCCATGAAGGGTTAATTCACAGGATTACATATATGAAGTATGAAAGCCTTATTCCTTACCGTTCAAAAGTTATGGCCAAGGTTAAAGTTTTTTTTACAAGAACGTAAATCTACAAGGTCAAGGTAACAGGGTCAAGGTTGTTGATATCCAATGAAAGGTCTTTTAACAAAAATACATATGTGAAGTATAAATGTCCTGGTATCAACTGTTCAAAAGATATTACCAAAGTAAAAGTTTAAAATTTTCATGTAAAAGTGGGCCAAACTCCAAGGTCAAGGTCAAAAGGTCAAATTTGGTGGTACCCAAAGAAAGGTCTTGTCACAAGAAATACACATGTGAAATAGAAAGTCATGGCTCCACTAAATCAAACGTTATGGGCAAGGTTAAAGTTTTTGCGGACAAACAGACAGACAGAGAGACAGACAGAGAGAAAGACAGACGGACGGACACGGCAAAAACTTCGTTTACGGGGGCATAAAAATTATATAAAGATTTCGTAGAAGATAGAACAATACATAAATATATTTATATGTCAAACTGAAACTGTGTAAAATACTTACGCATTCGATAAATATATGTATTTGTCTTTTGCTTCAGTAATCAGCAAAAACAAATCAGTCAATGAAGATTTAAAAGAAAAAATTTCTGGTCTGAAATTTTTTAACCAACTCTTTGCTTTCTGCACTGCACCAGTTACCGGAGATGTCACAATATCCTTTATGAATAGAATTTAAAAAAATAACTTTAGATAAGAATTAAAACGATATTCTCATATCATTTAAAATCTAATATTCCACTTCGCCTTTCTCTCAAAGACTCATAATACTTTTATCACTATAAAATAATGTGTATTAAGTTTACCTTAGATCTACCATACACTGGTATGGTTATATTTTGTAGATTATGATCATTTGTGTCTAGCAGTTCGAGCAACGCGTTAAATTCGCTCTCATCGAGTAGCCAAGTTGGATGCTGTCCTACATTAAAAGATTGATAAAATCTGAGAAAGTATAATAGGGAAAGTCAAAGGGTTTAAAATTCCAACTCTGTAATTCTTAAAATGTACACATGTAAACCTGAATTTAACTGTAAGCTGCAAATCATAATTTCATAATTTTTCAATGGTTCTATCACAATTTGTTAATTGTAAATTATCCTATTCGTACATTTGCGATTTGTCAATTTGTGATTTCTCAATTGTACTTTCGTGATTTGTAAGTTAAGCAAGGTTGCATTATATTTTACCCTATAAAGAAGAAAGGGGAGCTATGGGGGCATCATTTGCGAATAATAATACTTGCCAGTGGTGTCATACATTTCTTTCCCAATCTTTAATTTGACATTCACCAGTTCACCAACTGATTCACGTTATCTGAAAATATATAACCTTCATTTATATTATTTTAACACGCATTACACACAGCTCAAAACACACTCATAGAGAGACAGAGAGAGAGAGAGAGAGAGAGAGAGAGAGAGAGAGAGAGAGAGAGAGTTATTAAAAAAATATTTGAAAAAAACCGTAAAACTTCGATTTCTAGGCGGCTAAATGAAGTTAAAGGGTCATCGAAGAAATTCCAAGCCATCTCAAGTCCATCAAATAAGTCTTTTTTTCATATTCTCGTAAACCATTGGTAATGTTATATTCACCGCACTTAGTACATGCTTCATAAGAAAAATATAAGCATAACAATAAGGATTGATATTAACCTTAAGTTTACATAAAAGTAATCTTGAAAACCGACCTGCAGAGCTGCAGCTCCACAAATTAACATTGATGGTATGAGAACTTTAGGCCTACCCAGATGAAAACTGTATATTTTTGTACACAAAGTGTTGCTCTCGGCTCTAAATCTATTTTTCTAATTTCTTCGACTGCTTAAAAGCTCATATACTAGCTCTTGTTATTTCTACGTTTTTTGTTCCTCATTCTCCTCGTGTGTTTTTTTTTCAATTCCTATTGTTTTTGTTCTCTCAGTTCTCTTCAAATCCTTTGACATATTACATCTGTTTTTGTTTCTCCAATTCACCTCTAATTCTTTATTAAATGCCATTGATTTCGTTCCCCCTATTTTCCTCTTTTTCTTTGTCAATTCATACTGTTTTTGTTCCCCCTATACCCCTCCTAATCTTTGTCAATACCTAATGTTCTTGTTACCTTAATTTTCATCCTATCCTCTATCAATTACAACTGGTTTTGTTCTCCCAATTCTCAATTTTAGGAACAGGGCATTTGTTGGACGTAAAAAGTATATTTTTTACCTCGTTGGGAATTAGCACTGTACCTCTTGCATGTCCAATATTTTAAGTTGATCAGCGAGCCTTAGATTTGCAGTAAAGCAGACTATTAAACGTTTATTTATTCTTATTCAATTAATAAGAAGACTGGAATGTGCTTAAAATGCTATTGTATTTGTTTTCTAGGAAGATAACTTACGAAGTAAAATTGATTTAAGTCATCCTTTATATCCTTTATAAATGATCCAACTTCTTGAAGTAATTTGACAGCTGGTTTGATATCAGATATAACATTAAACTGTGCAATATCATATAGTTCTTTTGTAAAATTGTTATCAACAAGAAGAATAGAGTGATAGCAATTTGCCAAAGCTCTGGATAAACTATCAATTGATTTCAGCAGTTTGTTCTCGGATGTTGTCCCAAATATCAGTCTGTTGATTCCTTTAATGGCATCTCTTATAGGGCCCGTAATTTGCTGCTGTATTTTGTCATATTCTGTCATTACATCTTGAGCATCATTAAACCCATAATCCTACAAAATGACCAAAAAATGTTTTGTAATGTCAAAGAATTGTTGATTTTATTTTTTTCATTTATTTTTTCTAAACAATTTATTCAACATTGTCAGAAATGCTGTCTATTACTTTAACCTAATCCAACCTTTGGTGTTTATAATAGGGATCCATGATTTTCCCTGTCTTTTTTTTTTTAAATATTATTCATCTTTACTTTTTAAGGACGTTCGAATCCCTGACTTTTACAGTGGATTTTGGTTATTTTATAAAGTCCTGCATCATTTTAAAGTTCTAACATTAAATCTTAATTCTCCAATGCATCCACTTAAAGCGTATTAATTTATTCAAGTGAAGAGTTAATCTAGGAAAATACATTTTTTTGTGGCGGAAGGTTTTTCTATAGAAGAAATATTATATGTTTTTCCCTTTTGAACTGTTAATCTTTTTATTCCGATTTTCCGTGCTTGTTGCACAAAGCTGTTTTTGCAGTGAACTTGTTTATGCCGGTCTTCTGAAAATTATTTTAATTATTTCTTATGAATTTTTCAATGAAGTGTGTACAAAACTGTAATATATTCTGAAAATCCGTGGAAAATTATACGTTCAAGAAATACTGAATCATATCATATACCCAACTTTTGATGTTCTTTTCTAAATATTGGCCTATTTGCTTAAAATCAGAAAAAAAAGTTTAAGACTTCAAAAAAATTTTCTTGCGTATTAAATTTTCAATGTCAGAAAAATCACATTTTATTAGTGCAGAAAGGTCAAATAATTGATTATGCGATCGGTTTGAAACTCTTTCTAATTCATAATTTCAAAATGTTTTTTTTTTAGAAAAAAATACTTTGTGTTCATTTTATTTCATGCTTTAAAATATAAACAGCATATGCACGCTGATCCTTCAAATTAATTTTTATTAAGTGGAAAGATTCTGTATCTGAAACATCCATCTTCCCAGTCCATCTTTCCCCACACAAATAATAACATAAATGTAAATAAATAAAATCTCACTGACAAGGGAAATGACAATAAATTTTGATCTAGGATTTTTTTTTATCACAACCCTCGGTTTTTATTATTGCATCTCTGGTAAAATGTGTTAATCTAAAAATTGGACTTACATTGAGAACATTCAGGTCGTAATGGAAGCTTTTCTTGTCACATATCTTTGTTCTATGATTATCAAATCTTTTGTGGACAAAACCAGCATTTGCTTTTGAATGACTTTGCTTGTCAGCTTTCAAAGTTACAACACTCTCAACTTGAGCTATAAAATAAATTATTCAAATTAATCTGTTGTAGCTTTTTTTTCGATTTTATCGCAATGAATACCATAATTTAAATTTTCACAATATACTACAGTATATCTCTACTTGTACTCACTCATGTGGAATTTAACGCTTTGATCAGAATCTAGTCCTGAGGATGATCCAATATTTCCTGACCCCTGATTTTTCCCCCAGTTATATTGAGAAAGGTTCACGTCAAAATCATTTTCCTCTAACAACTTGTCGGCAGACCGCTTTCGAATACGACTTACGATGGGATACGTATACTTTTTTCTGTTAAAATTATATTTTGACGTTTTATTTTGCATTTTTAATGTCAAAATCATTTGTAAAAACGTAAATAATAGTGAGAATGTCTCTTTTTAAATCAAAATTCTCATTTATATGCATTATTACACATCTATTTGATTTATGTTCAAAAGTCAATTGTTTTCTTCATACATATTTTTCTCAAAAATACTTAAATTCTTTACTCTAAAATCATATTTTCCTGCTCTTTTGTCAGTTTTTTCCTCATTGGGTGTCTTGAGTAAACATCAAAAGCTGTATGGCGCACAACATCCTCAGGGTCAAACAAAGATGAACGAAGCAGGGTAGATGCACTCTGAAATCATAATAAAAATTGTTGTAAAAAGCTTCACCATGCCTTGCATTCTGGCAAGATGGTGAGAACAAAATTAATATCTTTATTCGATTCACCCCTCAATAATCTTCAATCAAATTGGGTCTCACATGATTTGTAGCTGAAAATGATTTTTTTCAAACAAGTTTTGTTTTTTATATCCCCGAGTTTTGTAGAAGGGATAAAAAACAAAACGAGTTAGATAAAAATCATATCCAAATACAAACCATGTGAGATTCTTTTTATCCCATATTTCATACACCACCATCAGTGTTTACACTGTTTTTATATAGGACTCAATTTTACTTCATCGTTCTATCCAAATCCAAATCCATTGAGATGTCACAGCTGTAGGACATAAAAATATCCAGTGAGTTATATCTACGGGATAAATGGGTTTACATTGGATAAAGAAATACGCACGCTAACTCTCGATTCCCGCCTACATTTTGGAACCATTTAATTCAATATAAATAGCAATTTGGCCATAAAATCTTTGTTTAATACAAAGAACAGTTCAATTAAGGAATGTTTTTAAGTTTTGTGTGAGTTATTTAAGAAATAAACAACGTTATTTAGTGAACATGGCGTTATGAATAGCAATTGCTCTGCTGGCATATTCCATGATGCGCGCTAGCGCATCATGGAAAATATGCCAGCAGAACTATTGCTATTCATTACGCCATGTTCACTAAATAATCGTTGTTTATTACTTATATTTGCATTCTTTGATGTTGACAAGAATATCAGAGGAAATCCTGACTTACATAAGGACGCAGCTTCTGTCTTCAGTAAAGAAAACCATACGGCTTTTAAATCAATACACCTGATCAATACTCCTTTTCCCTAATAAATCACAATTTATAAAGTATTTCCCTCTCAAACACAGTTATCTAGATACAAGCAGCTCCGTCGTCACATTCTCATAATTTTTGTTTTGATGCAGTCCTGACGTCATCGATCAACGTTATT